TCTGATCCTATTATAGTGTTGGAACATACCCAAACTGCTACCATAATCTCTGAAATGTTACTGTTCTCTGATTTAGGTGTCTGTGTCAAGAATAAAAATGAAGTATAACTGGTAGCAGTAGACTATTTCCTAAATGTAATTTAGTATTCACTAAGCACCAGCACTTTGCAAATAGCTCTGAGGCTTTCCTTCAAAGTTCAGAGCTCTAGTTATGCATATTGTGTGAGGTACACCATGCAGCTCACCTCCAGCCTCTGTTGTGCTGAATAGATGGCTATGATAAATCATGCTGATTTGGCACTGAAGGGCATCAGCCATCAAGGATTTGACTACTATGTCTTTTTTTCCCTGAGATTATATCTCCTTGAACTGCCTGCCCTGGGCTACTAGTTTTGGAGAAAATTAAAAAGTGGAAAAAATGCTAGGGTAGGCCACTACAGASAGTCTATACAGGCTCAGTTCTCTGGAACCCATTAACACCAGTCACAAGACTGGCAAAGAAAACATTGGTGGTTGTTTAAAAGTCAGGCCAAGTCATTTTACGCAAGATCTGGTAATTCATTAATCAATCTGGCTGCAAACCTTGAATGAATAACCTGCAATGGTGAAAGAGACTGGCAGCACCACAGAATATGAGGAAGCTTATAATCTGAACCAACACAAATTACCCTGGTGATGTTTAAGGCTTTCCTCAACACTCATCATCTTCCTGATACAAYCCTTCCAAATAAATAAGAAATCATTTATCTCCATGAATTCCCCTGCTGCCAGGGGAAAGACAGTCTGTATCTCATTGTGCATTTCTTTCTCTCCTCACATTCTCATTGCATGTAATACAGCACTTTTTGGCAGTCTACACTAAAACATAGTTATCTTTTTAGGCTTTTCAAATACATGGCACATAGAATGGCCTTGAGAAGTAATCTGGGCTACACCTATACAAAACAATTAAAAACAAAATCATCAAATTGTGAGCATCTCTTTGGAATATAGGATTATTATAAAATCTGCAGAAGGGCAAGAAATAAGGGTTTTCTAAAGTCTTTCTAAAGGCTAAAGAAGTGTTTTGCCAAGTACAAAGTTTATGATTTTACACAGGTTCATTGTGCTTTAACAGGTTATTGCCTATCTAAGGGCTGCATTTTCTCTTATCATCAGCCGCATTATTTGCAAAAAATGCCAACAAAGAGAAACACCCACTGTAGGTATCTTCCCTCTCCATAATGCTAGGCATGGGTCATAAATAATTTTAAATATGACTAATCTTACATTATATGGTACAGTATATTTCAAGAAGCCTCAAGGAACAACAGTTTTCATGAACAAAAAGCCTTCTGACTCATGACACATCAAGTTGTACGTTTGTTCACAATTTCACATAGCATTGGTTTTGAGAATGGAAATTTAACCATTTTAATTTTCTAAAAGTAGCTAAATTAAAWTTTTTTTGCAAATACTTTTTTTAAAGCCTAGTTCTTCACAAAAACAAATCATAAAAGCGAATGGTGCATTGAACCATCTAAATAACTGGTCTTGGGTGACTTGTTAACTATTTACTTGCATGAACTTGTGTCAATAGACAGTGCCCTGAGGGGCAAGAACTCCTTCATTTTATCTTTTCAAACAACAGGTAAAGAAAATAAGGTGAAAAAAAGGAGTGATCAAGCTGTGAACAGAAAGAAATCAACTAATTTATAATGTACATAAGTACAAACATTGATAAGAAGAGCCTGTGTGCTGGGGCAGTACAGCTTCATTCGGGACTTGTATCGGTTACAGTGGCGTGTGAGCAGAATGATGCAGCGCTGAATTCGGCGTGACTGCAAAACACTGGTGAGTTTTAATACGAGAGTGAAGGCCAGTATCTCATCACACCTAAGCGGATGAGAGCAGGGATTTATACTCAACACTTACATACTATCTAGACTAATTGGACCTTTATCTCACTTGGCTGCTGGTTGCTACCATAACTATTAATAATTTCTACTCTGTGAGACTCCCAGTGCCACGGGAGTGCCTAAGCTTGTGGGTGCTCAGCTCAAGTGAGCTTTCAGGAACATGATTTGCAGAAAGACTGAAATTCACTTTCTGAAATACAAGCCTTTCTTAAAAAAATGCACCGGAGACACTCAGGAGCTTTGTAAAGACTTTTGGGTACTGTCCCTCACGTAGACAATGAAACATGTACTGCATTAATACCTCAAAGGAGAGCGTGTTTCATTCAAGGTTAGGTTTGGCAATTAATACTGTACAGCCTGTGCAAGTAATGCTGCTCGGGTATTTCCCAGGATTTGCTTGTCATTCTGGTTCTTTCCTTTCCACCCCAGATACGCTGTATTTCCATTTTTGTCTGACAATGCCTCATCTGGATGCTTAAGATAGATAAAACATACTACTCCCACCATGATAAGACAGAAAAAAAGAAGTAAAAAAAAAAAAAGTGTATAAAAAGAAGTTATTTTCTTTTTWAAAAAGCCATTGAGGATCAATATGGAAAAATTTAGTGATTACCAAATGAGAAACTGCACAAAACTTCTGTTCTCTCAGCTAAAACAAACAGTTCCTCACAGAATATGTGAGATAGTCTCTAGAGGAAGAAGACATCTTCTTCTGATCTTGAGCACCCCCAGTCGTCACATTACTGAGCAGCAGAGGCAAAAAATAGTGCAAGGTATCCAGCTGCACAGTGGAGAATGGGGACAGGGTTAATGTACGGGAGGAAAAAATAACTGTTTCATTCCCATCTTCACAGGCCAAGCAACCAAGAAATGTAAATGCAACACTCTAAGAAGCTGAAAATAGTGTAATTTTGCACTGCAGTATTGTAAAATACCATTAGGGCACAATTTGTCCCTACAGGTAAGTATGGGCCAAGCTGTGATGAGACAGCAATGCAGCCTGCAGCTGAAGTCAATGAGTGTGAGGAAAGAAAACAAGAGAATTTCTGTGTTAGGAAGGAAGCAGCATATTTAATTTCYAAACTATTATTTCTGAGCTATTACTTGCTGCATAGATGCATTCCCCCAGCTCCAACCCCCCTGTTTCTCCACACATACTCCCTTGATTCTTCTCAGCAGGGCAGCTCATCCTCAGACACACCCAAACATGCCTGTGAGACGTTGACCCTGTCACCATCTCCCAGAGAGTTTAACTACCAGCCTATCTGGTTGTCCTGCTGTTTGCAACATGTTTTGATTTGCAGAACAAGAAYTGTTTCCTATACAAGGTGTGTAGGGGAATGGTCACTACCTATCTGAGACGACTTTATACTCAGCAGCTGTGGCCATCAGAGCAGAGGGGCAGTAACACACAGGACAAGCAATGAGCCTATGGTCAAGTTCCACTGAGTTTATTGGAATTATTTCTATGCTTAGAAATGGTAAATACATAACTGTATCACTGATCTGGAACTCACACTTTGAAAATCTGCATCTTCAACTGATTTTTCCTAAAGGGAAATGCATCTGCATTTGGCTTTTGACGAATGTGGAAAAAAAAAAAAAAAGCGTCCTTGGTTAAAAAAAAAGCAAAACCAGCCTCCACCACACTAGCTGGAAATGCAGATCCTGCCCCCCCCCCACTGCTGCCAAGCATCCAGACCGAGTCACCAACACGCCCTACCCTGCCTGAGGCCGTACAACTGCAATTCAAGAACCACACGGGGCTTGGAAACTTTGTAAAACAAAGTGTGGAACATTATACAAATAAAGAAAAAAATGAGGGCCTAAGCACAAGCCTTTGCAGGGCTATTTTGATTTGAATAAAATTAATTCCAAGTTACTTGGACGTAAATCACAGAAACTAAACTGAGAAGATGAGTTTCTACTATCAGTTACACTGGTATAAATCCAGAGCAACTTCACCTGCATCAGGGAGATCACTGTGCATTTAGACYATATAGAAAGAAAGAAGAATTTTATTCAGGACATCACATTCTAGCTAAACATTTTACTACACTATGTCAGTTAWTTTTTTCCAGCCTTTAAAATTCTACCATGATAATTCGGGGCTTTTCAGAACCAGCAGGCCAGCTGTACTTCCTGGAGCTGTRGTACCTGGCGTGTGAGAAGCAGCACCCGTAGCTTGTTTTTGTACAAGGTCTTCCTGCCAGCTAATCAATTTATTGTCCAATTTCCCTGCCAGTGAACGATCTATGGCCTCTCCTATCAACAAGGAGGGAACGAGGTTAGGGTTTAGGAGGGCCACAGCTGCCTGAAACCACAAGGTGGAGAATTATGAAGGCTTTACACAACGAAAGAAAGAAGACCCGCAACAGAGATAAAGAGACAGTAACCCTCCCTCTTGTACGCCCTGATCCTCTCGCATACCCTGACCCCCAATGCAGAACTGGAGAGAAAACAATTAAATCTCTACTCTCACTCTTTGACTTTTACTTTTAGATTSCTCTCCACCAGGAGGTCTTTGAAACATCACACACCCTGAGCTGGTCCCTGAGCTACTGACAGTCCTCACCATCTTCTTTGCCACATTCACCCTTCCTCTCCCCTCCACATAAACAAATTGCAGACCTCTCAATCACCAACTTGCACAGCAAAGCTGTGAGCGATAAAAACCTTTACTAGAAATGCTCCAGCTATTCAGTTAGCTGCTGTGCAGTGCTCTGCTTCTTGCCGAGGAATTCAAGTGGAAGACAACAAACAAGTTTGACTTCTGTTTTGCTCTGTAGCTGACAACAGTGCAACTCCTCACCATGACACCACAGGACAGTGTGCTCTAGGCACTCTTTGCTGTTTCATTTCAAAAATCAGAAGTTCCATTGAAATAATTTTAAGGCTCTCCCCCCCCACATTCCTCTGATTGCAGGCCTGGTTTTGACAATGAAAATTAAAGAAACCAGTCAGAACCCATAACACATCAGCAAGTTTCTTTTCTTGTCTCTTAATGGTGGAAAAATAGTAAACTGTTGTCCACCAGGCTAACAAAAAAAAAAAAAAGAAAAAAAGGACTTTGCAACATGCACTTGCATCATCTTGCCTTACCTCAAATATATTGGCGGGTTCATTGCTGTACTGATTGGAGATGATCTCTGACTGGTCGCTGTACCACTTGAGTCCCCCCAGAAAGCTGTCTGCATCCAGGTCGTTCACATCTAGTTCGGAGAGGTCGAGTTCTGGGAGATCTGGGCAAAGAGGCTGGTCTTCGCCAACCAGAGCAGCACACTGCAGGATACAGCAACACAGAAATAGTTTCATTAATTACTAGGAATCTATTAACTAATATCATGTGATAAGAATTAAGCCTCAATTAAGCTATGGCACAGGGTCACTAGGATTGACTTTGTTTTCTGAAAAAAGAAACACGCAGTATTTGATCATTGTTAGCTCTACATAGGTTTGTGAAGGGCGGGGCAAACAGAAGGGCATAAGCTGTCTTCTCTATCACATCTCTGTCCAGGGACAATCACCTTCCTTCTCCCTATACTATTTGATAACAGTTGTGTTCAAAGCTTTAAATYCAACAGCAGAGGCCAAAGCATGGCCTTATTGTCCTGTTTCAGAGTGAACCAGTGCAGGTAGAAGTTACAGATGAATACCTCTGGGCAAGGTCTGTCACGCATTTCCTGATGCATTCAGGTTAAAGAGGCACAGCCTGTTACAGCCTTGAGCCCCGGGGGCTGGCTCAAGCTGGAGATAGTCACACTTTCACTTCTGCAGAACCTTACTGTAATCCTTACAGCCACTCATAATGGTGGCTACCATATGGCCATAAAAAGTATGGGTTAGTGACACTGCTGTGCTCTTTTCCTGATGCACAAACCACAGCCACCCAGTTATGTATAAGGGTCCTGGCAACCAGTGTGGCTTGAAATATCCCTGTCTTCTCCTCTGGGTGACAGGCACAGTTGGTTCAGGCAGCCTTTCACCTGCTTGGTGTGAACACATCTATTATCCTAGATGGTTTCCTAAATGTCCCCAGAGAGAAGCTGTACTAAGGGGACCAGGATTTTCTTTCCTCTTCTGGCAAACTCWGATTCAGTAATCCTAAAGTGGCGGGTCTGTGAAACATTTTGTTTGAGGCAGTAAACAAAGTCTAGTCTGCAGGAATCCTCTTCAGCAGTGCAAAATGTTTTTGTCTGCACAACTCAGGAAGACGGTGAGGATAAATAAAAACAAATCTGGAGTAAGTGTTCTTTTATATGCCCGTACGGAAGCTAGATAGGGTATTGACTGACCTACTAAGGAAGAAAAAATTAATAACACACATCCACTTCAACACAGCAATTGAAATGTTAGAGTATCCACCAAAACCATTTCCTAATTATAGAAAACATGTAGTAACGGTTTGGCAAATAGCYGAGTCCCATATGTCAATGCTGCTCAATTAAGCAATTCCTACTGCACTGTACTGTGTATCCCYGTAACTCATCTCCGAACATGCACGTCGATACGGGCACACTGCAAAGCACACGTGGAGCTGCAGAGGCACCAGGGCCTGAATGGTTAAAARCCAGCTAAAGTCAACTGAGCCTAAGGGCATCTACGTGAGTATTTCTAGCACTGTRTTGGGGATGGCCAACAGCAGGACCGCCTCAACTCCCGTCCGTTGACTGCGTGGCTTGAATGATTTCCCAATTCCTGTTTGGACTGAAGTCAATGGAGAAAGTGGCACTTTCTGAAGAGAGGTGTCTGTAGGGCACTAACAGTGTCCATGGATGTGAATTGCTCGATACTGGTTATGTCACTCTCGCAAGGACCGCCTTTTACAATAATGCAAGCGAGAGCTGCTGAAGGTGCATTTCATTGAGGTTTTTGTCCCCGGAATCTCGGTGCGTCTGCAGTGCACGGGCTGGATGCAGCAGCGCAGCCGTGAGCGAAGATTGTGTCTGTTGGCACAAAGACTCGGCGCAGCTGGTGTGAGCTATAATTTACCAGACAACTTCTACGTCTACCAGGACACTACAAGATAATCATAGAGTAGGCCAAGGGGCAAGGAAGCTGAGAAGCTACAAAATGAGGTTCTGAAATACCAGTTGTTTTTACCTCCTATTCCTTAAGTGGCTGTAGAACTGAAAGAAGTCAAAATCCCACTTAAGTAATCTTACCTTTTTTTTAATCTGATTTTTTTACCATTATTTCGAGCACAAGACAAAACAAAAAAATTAGAGAGTTTCCTCTTCTTTAGTGTGAGACACAACCTTCTGGCAGCAATCTTATAATACAGAGATGACCTTTTTTGATGCTTGGCCGAAATCTCTGATCTCATTAAAGGATAATCTAGTTTTTGACGGAAAAGGTAGATTCTCAGCATCATTCTCAGTTTGTGTTATGGAGGTCAGTAGCTTATAACTGATGCCATAGACTTCTAAAGTATCCTGCTGATCTGTTACTGCTTTCATTTATAAAAATAGCTTCACCCTGTGAACCACCTACTTAAATATGTTTACTTTTGGTAATCTGCATTTTTAAGTTTCTACAGTGGGCTTTTGAAGCAACATAAACAATGGTATTACAAAAAAAAAAAATCCTGCTCATTGTAGCTTTCATTTACCTATAGTGACTGCAATGTCACCTAAAAAACGTAACTGCTGAAATGAAGTATATATGCCTTGCCAATGTTGACATGATAATAAAATCAATGTTTCTGAATATGACATTATGCTTCTGAGCACACAGAGCACATTAATCTGAGACACATTAGCAGCAAGTGTTCCTGTTATTAATTTATATTTGGCCTTTGGATGATGCCAGATTTAACACTCCAAGTCCTAAAACTGTCCTCATCTGACACGCTGATATTTACTGTTTGCCTATACATCTGTAACAGGTGCACCTGCATTGCTAGCACACATTTTACTGTCTTCCCACTGTTATTTGATATGATAGTTATTCCATAACTATRGCTCTAATTTTACAGTAACATTTAGGAGGATAAAGCAGTCASTAAACACAAAAGGCTAATTACTGTGCATTATTTCACTCCAACAGACCTTTTTTCTCTTAGTTCAGGCGCAAACAGTAAATTAGCTTAACTGCACTGATGGTAATGAATCATTATAATTAAGTATAATTCTCCATTAACCTTTTGGCTGTTTTTGTGCCTTTGAAGGTAAATTTTAAAAAAAGAAAAAAAAAAGGAAGACTGGATTTGTGCCATATTAAYTATATTAATGAAAATATAATCTGTGTTTTATTTTTAACAAGTTTTTCAATGTACCAAGGGGAWGAACTCAGGAAAGAAAAGAGACTTGACAAAATGTGTGTCATGTGGATTCTCTCTATCAATCTTCGCAACCTTACTGTACATCACCTTCATTAAGCTGTGAAGCACTGGGGACGCTGATCAGCTACAGTGATGCAGGCCTTTATTAAACAACACGCTGTCCTGTCATTATGTGAGCGAGAATATTATACATTTTACATTGACAGCGAATATTAATGATTCAAAAAATGAAAGCTGCCTCCAGTGTTATTTACTAACACCTAGCAGTGTTAGTTACCTGCTACCTGTGTTATTTTAGCTCAGTAAAGGTGATCCCCTGAGCCAAAGCAGCACGCAGACACCGGTGTTGCTACAGGAAGTGCAATGCAGGAGCACATTGGCAAAATCCTACCCACAGTTAATCCATCCACCACACAATTAATATTAAGATCAAACTCTTTTTTTCATTCTTTTTTTCTTCTCTCTGAACTATGAAAAAGTCATTGACATAAATTATCTATTCTGTTACTAGCTTGAAATTACTGCAGGAACTCTAGTGATTAAAATAAATCTTCAGTATTTCCATATAAGCTGGTTCCTCAATCAGCTCCTAGCAGCATTAGGAATAATACATGATGGAAAAGTGAAGCTACGGCAGCTGAGACCCATGCTACAAGCCAGACAACAACCCACAGGATACTCCAGCTACTCAGAAACAATTAGGACTTTGGAGCCAGAAAGTCATCCACTTACTGCCTTGACTCATAATAGCTACAGGACATATGAATTATCCATATCTATTCCACTTTACCAAGAAATCAAAACAAGATAAGACCAATTACAATATGCAAACAGAAATCTGCGGATACAATGGCAAGCTGCAAATATTTAAAACACGACAAAATGAGAATCCACACACATGCTCTGCCAGATATGGAAAATTTACTGGAGAACACAGAAATGGTTCACTTCAGATGGGTAGCCCTCTACAGCATGAACATCTTATTTAAAAAGCATCGCCTGTAACCTGTTTTTCCCTCCCCCATTGCCCAAGGGGAACATTTTAAGCACTTATTCCAAGCCCGAAGCCAGAGGATTAGTTCCTTTGAGCAGGTCTGTATTTGGGATTCCTCTCCATGGGGTCCAAAGAAAGTTTGCCTCGCTTCGCAAGTTGCCCGAACTTTCAGGTAATGCTCCATTTTGCTGAATGCAAACATGCAGAAATCCTCAAACCTCACATTATACTCCAGAGATTACCACGGGGCTGCTTGCCTTTTTTATTTTTTTTTTCCTTTATGAATTGTAGCCAGCAGAAGCTGTGGATTTGATGTATTGCCGTCTATTTTTACACAAGCAGCAGCAGCAGCGGCGGCGGCAGCAGCAGCAGCAGTTCACACAGTCCTGCATAAACTCTATTCTCATGGTTCATCCTGTTGTCTCTGCTGTACAGTGGRATTTAACCATTTGTTGGACTACTCGGATTGACTGCGAACCCTGCTCTACGGGGCATTAGCTACAGCGTCAGTATTCCAATACCACAAGTAGCAGGGAAACGTCTCYTTCCAGAAATCTCTTTTAAAAGCATCTAAAGCCAAACAACAGGGTATTCATTCCTGTGTGCGTGTTTGTATTCTGCAGCTGATAAACAAGGAAAAAACCTTCGACAGAGCACAGTGAAACAAGGAATTAAAATATGAACTCACGAGTTAAATATAACTTTTTTTAAAAAGAAATATTAGTCTTATTGTAAATAAACATGGCATTTTTCCAACCAGGCCACTAAATGCCACTGGAAACGCCACTTCAGACACCGATTCATATCAATATCTTAGAGCATAAATATTGCATATGACGGGAAAGCGAGCCAGAGGCACATGAAAATAGTTTCCAACTGCAGGAGATACTATACTGATGACAGGAGCTCAGCTTTGATTTGCTCAAGGCATCGCAGAGTAACCTTAAAATAGCAAACTTACTGGAGTTAAGATAAGATAGGGACTTGTTTGCAAAGTACGCCGCCTCGGCCGTCCTGCCGGTGCCCCGCCGAGCCCACGGCCCCCGCCAGCTGCCGGCCCCCACGGCCGCCCACGCCGCGCACTCCTCACCTCCAGATCACTCCATACAGAGTCCTGGTTGCACATGTCCCACGCCATCCAGCTGCGGAGCGACGGCAGCAAAGCTGGCAAACTACAGTCCAGAGGCAGGCAGGCAGGCAGCAGACACTCATGCAGGCAACGAGACCCTTTCTGAGAGTGAACCGAAGGCACCTGTCTTACTACTGTTCCCCGTCACATGACAAAGCTATTAAAAAGTAGGCTGGGCTGTCACTCATCCAGCCTTCTGGATGCTGCTCCAGCCCGTGACGTCAGCCAGGGGCAGACCCAGCCTGAAGTGAAGTAAATCTTTGCAAAACCCGCTCAGACCTCGGCGGCCGCGGCAACACGCTGCGATTCAAAGCACTTTCCACGCCACACCCCCGAAACGCTGCTCCTGCCGTAGCACAGCTCCTATCCTTCCCCATCTTTCTTAATTTCTTAGCTTGCTTTCTTTGTCTTCCCCCCACACCCCAGCACACAATAGGCAGAGCTGTGCTTATTATGAAGAAAAAGTGAAGTGACTCCCAGCCGAGCTGCAGCCTGCCCTCTCCGGTGCCCGCACCGCTTCCCCGGCTCTGCTCTCTTTGGAGAGGCTATCCCAGAGTTCGGCAAAAGTTACACCTCCTCCCAACATTTTTTTTTTTTTTKCACTCGGGGATTTTGCATTTCCTCCCCAAGTATATTGGTTGGGCTAATGGTTTCTCGTAGATAATTGCAACTCTAGTTAATTTTTCACGCTAAATGTATCGGCAACACCCCCCCTCACACACACCCCCACCCCAGCATTTCTCTGAAATGGACTCAGCATCTATAAAAAACATTCCTACAGTTATCTCACCTGCTCCGAGGGGGAAGCCTGATCCTGTTCCCAGCTGGATTACAGTATTTCTGAGCTGCTCTTTAATCACTTCTCCGTCTCGGTATATTCCCCAAGAAACCATGGCTGTTACAAGGACCTGCCTCTGTCCTGCCCATGACCGCCCTGACCCCCGCCTGCCTCTTCCTATGTGCTGCCTCAGGGCGCGTTTCTGCACCCTTCTGACCCGGACCCAGTGTTTGTTCATTGAAAAGAAATAAATTAAAATATCTCTTGTGTGAAAATCCAGGCACACTGTTAACAGACCTCCCCCCCGTCAAAGCATTTCCCAGACAATAGGGGCTGCTGCAGGTGCTTCTGGTTTATGATGCCCCTTTGCACTGCATACACAACAAACTCCATGTACCAAACTGCACTGCAAAATGTTGCCCACAACAGGGAAAGAAAACCCCAAAATAAAGGTCTTGTTTAACTATCCCCACCTGCCTGCTTACTGTCTTAAGCTGCAATTCTTTTAATTATCTGTGTGCAAAAATTCTCGTGAAATGTAAATGCTGGCTCCCTTGCGCTGGGCTACCAGTCAAAGTTACAAAACTATASCTTATCATCCTCCATGTCATGAAATATTCATTTTCATTGTTATTTGCAAACTTGAGTATTCTAAAGACTAAATGAATTCAATTATTATACAAGGCTATGGCAATTTTGCTGAGAGAAAAAAAATAAACAAGAAGTACAATTCTTGAAATAGCTTTTTTTCCCACAGACATTGGAACCTTCAGAAATGGTAGGAGGTCTCAGATATATTCTTAGCTTATTTGTGTTTCCTTGTAATTCATTATTGCCAGTYCTGATAAAATGTACATTTTTCTCAGCTTGTGCTTAAGTTGCAAATCACATCACACTGTCATATTTTCACCAGCCACTGATGACAAAAATGGCATTGTTTTTACTTAATTAAAAAAAAACCCACAGCAAAATACCGAATGATTACAGAAAGCCTTTCCTAAAAATAATTAAATTAACGGTATTGCTTTGCTCTCATGACAAAAAAAAACCCCTAGATTCCTTCCCAATTATACRCTGATTTAATGATAAAACTGCAGTAAATTATTAAGATCTGTGGCAAAGGTGAGTACCTCTACCCCCTGAACAGTCAACTGTGAAATAATACTGGGCACCTGCCTGCCTGGAGTGGAATCAGTTCTTATTAATTATTATCTGTGGATCCATGGTTGGTGGAATATTCTCCTTCAATACCTACTTATAATTGTGTTCATTGACTGTGCCGAATCCATCATGTTTTTTTTTGAAGTTTCATTCACACCTTTTATAGAAATGTATTTACACTGGAACATTTCATATTGCTGTTTTGGGTATTTTGACCTGTTCATGTTGTTTCTATTTTCTACATTTCCACTTCAATGCTTTCCCTTCAAATTAGCAAGTTAACTGATAAATRTAAACTGTGACCTTAGTGGTGCTCTCACCATACAAGCTTTAGAGACTGGAGAACTTTTTTAGTGCACKATAGACAGAGCAACCAATAGGTAATAATTACAGAGCCCCCAGAGATTTTCTATGGCCCTGTCCACATTACAGCTTGAACTTTGCTGGCAGTTCCAGCATTACCTGGAAGAGATACCAAGCAAGASTCCAACTACAAAAGACTACGAGATTTCAACAAAGGTTCCCCATTGCTTTGGAAGATTTCTTTTTGTTTTTAAAACTAAAGTGTCTAACTCCAGCCATAGTATAAATTTACCCACTAGGATCTTTTTTTTTCCCATGTTTTAATGTGGATTTTGAGCATAGTGCCCCAAGGAGGAGAAAAGCAARGAAGACAGCTGCAGTGGTGGTGTAGTTTGGAAACGACGCAGACTCCACATATGCAAATGAAGCCTGTGAAACCCAGCCAGCACCTAAGCTGCTTCCTCAAAGGAAACCTTGTCTTCTGAACATTCCCAAGGAGCTTTAGCAATGCTCTTCCCTCTGTTTTGACAACACTAAAGAACTGCACAAACATCTTTTGTGGGGCAATATCTAAGCACATACACACACGATATTTGGTTCCACAACAAACACATACAAAGAAAACCCTCCCTCAGACAACAAAGTCTGCGGGTACGTTTGACACAATCTGCCCTGTTGAAATGTCCTTTATCAGACTAGCTCTTCAATCACTGCATTTCCCATTTTCAGGTTAGTCTGTACCRGCTCTCAGCAATTCCCAAATTTTGCCTTTTCTTCTTTAAGGGCCATGATCCAAGAAAGTTCTGGTAAGCCTTCCAACAGCRTTTGGGCACTAATTCCCAAATCCTGATAAATTTCTGACAGGACTGGAAGGTATGACTGCCTGCGACAACAGGAAGTAGAAATCAAAGACCAAAGCCTTCAAGCCCTCTGTCCTTGACGTTTTCCTGGATTCAGCATTCATTTTATCTCTTTCTCCTCCTCTTTCACTCACATTTTCTAGCTATAATCATGTTTTTATTCYCTGCAATTTACATTTCTCAATGAAGCTACTGATTTTAGAGACCTCATGATTTTGAAATCTGAAACTTAGTCCCTTCATTATGGTACTGAGGAAGAAATATTTTCTYTCCTTGCCCCCAAGACTATGGTACTTGCTGATTTTCAGCAGTTTGCTACTTTTCCAGCGGAGTAAGGACAACCAAACTTGTATATAAAAATAGTGCTGGAGTTTCAGCCAGATGAAGTTCGCAAATTAGTTCTCACATCAGTTCAACCCTTTCTGCTCAACCCTCCAAGAGTGAATGGCCTTACAGCAAAAGATCAGTCAATGCTGTATATAAAAGAGCAAACTGCACTCCAAAGGTGTGCTAGCGTGAATGGTGTTCTATATAAAGTATATGTACCCTATTAATTTTTTATTAAAAATCTTCCTTCTGTGCATCTKTACTCTTATTTTTTGCACAGTCCTGTATTTGTTTTCCAGTCTGTTCTCTCTGTTCCACTTCTATCCTATTTGTTTGTTCTTTTTTTTTCCCTTCTCATCTTCTTTTCCTTATTTATCCAGTTCATCTTACCCAGAATACAYCCTCAATAGCAAAAGCCAGTGAGTGAATCAAACTCCTTGAACTTCTGGGTTCATTGGTGCAGTAATTCTACGATGGAATAAAGCCACGTGCTCTCTCTAGTTTTGTTAGGGCAGTTACGAGCTGGGATTTTTTTTTTTTTTTTTTTTTTTTTTTTTAACAGAGAAACCCAGGATAGTGCTCCATACTAGCTCTCTGCAAAACTCAAGAGATCAGGGCCAAGTTAGTTCCTGGCTCAGCTCTGGGTCACCGGCTGCTGTCTGAGAAGCTGTATATTCTAGAGTCCAAAATAACTTTCTCCAAACAGCGATGTGTTACTGACACTACTGACACCAGGCTGAATTTTGCCCCATCTGCCTCCACAGACTGAGGGCTCAAATAAACAGCACTGAATGCCAGGGGAAATCACTCRCTTGTTCACGTGCAACTGGACCCCCCTATGACCATGTACTATTAGTGCAGATTACCTGATTATCAGTGCTAACCGTCCTTGCAGACAGGCAACTCTCTGGGTGCTTGTAATAAAACCTTCCAAGATTGTTCAAGTGAAGCAGGAGGAGCACAGGTACCCACTATAAGAATTCTTCTTACAATTTTTCTTACACCTCCCTGAACATCAGCCTCATGTTTCACTTACTTGTTATTAAAAACAAGAAAAACAAACCCATTCCAGCTGATTATATAAAAAAATACATTTGTCACTCGTTTCCATCCAACATTTGAAGCRTATGTTCTCCAGGACCCTCATTTGCTATGATTTGCAGGAAAATACAGCTTGTCAGGCCTGCTAAAAGGAATATGAACAATGTCTTTCACTTGGATGTTACTGTTTTATAAAAAGGCTGATCTGTAAAAGAGTATCTACCTTTGAATTTGTGGCCTCTATATGTGAGAGAAACAGAGCCATGTAAACACATCCATTTCCTGGGGAGGCTGTGATGCTGTCTGAGCACAAACACCCAGACAAGCCAAGGAGACAGATCCCAGTTTTGCACTGTCCTGCAGGYTGGCAGAGCAGGCAGGACCACATCAAAATCGCAGACCGTTGCAGATCTTCATCATCTCTCCTTTACTCACCTCACTGCTGATATTTCCTTGGAACAAAAGAAGTCATAAAGTTCTTATTATCCCCTTATCCTTCCACACATTCAAGTCCCTGGGAAGARACCAAAACCTGCTCACATCTGATATTATCAGACCCAAGGAACCGGTTTCTGACATTCCTTTTCAGGGGCCTGGAACATCTGCCCTGACTCAGAAGTTGTGCCCTTCTCTCCCCATTCCCAGCCTCGCTGGGAGGCTCACACCCCTTCTGAGGACAGGCAATTGTCTTCTCC